ATTAATCCTCCATATAATAATGCTTTAATTATATCAAATTTTTTACCAATTGTTTTCAAATTCCACTTCAATTACCATATATATTATTCAAGTTGAAAATAATTTATTCAAATACATAATTTGATTTTTACTTTAATTACATAATGTATTTAGCGTAGATACATATTATATTATATTTAAAGTGGATTTTGCAAATTGATTCTTATTTTCTTCATTATTCTTAGACTAAGGTTGTAATGATTTATTTTTGACCCTCAATGTAGTAATAATTAGTATATAAATAATTGTAAATAAAGATATTTCTTAGTAATGATTACTAGTATATTGATAATTATAAATAGTTACAAATTGCAACATACAATTAATATGTTTCCATTTGATAATAATTATATAAACTTGACAGACTAATTTAAATAGTAAAAAATGAATTCTAAATAAACCATCTAAGTGTAAATGAAAAGAAAGAACACCTATAATGAATCTAAAAATAAAAAAAGCTTGAACATTTTTTCTCTCCTTTGTGTGGGAGTGGTTTTTTTCTCCTCTGCGTGGGAGTGGCAAATTGTGAGCGTCGACGATGGCAGAGTCAAGTGTTAGAGAGCTAGTGCTAGCGCTAGGTGAGCGGTTGGCTTTAACAGCGAATGAAGACGTGCGGTTGAGTTTGGACGATAGGGATGATGCGCAGCAGCGTGGAAGAGGGGATCAATGGTGTTTGGTGGGTACAGTTCTCACTCAAAAACGGTACCATATGGAATCAATGGAAAGAACTGTGGTTGATGTGTGGCAATCGGTGAAGGGATGCATATGAGGATTTTAGGAAATAATCTTTGCCTTTTATTGCTTCCATCCAGTTGATATGCAGCGGGTGTTGGCGGAAGGGCCATGGCAGTTCGACAATCATATTATGGTTTTGCAGGAGGCTTAAGAGGGACGACAAGTTGTAAAGGAGGAATTGTTTGAAGTACCGTTTTGGATCTAGATCCATAATCTCTCCCTAGATCGTTTGATGGTGGAGTCCGGCAAAAACATAGGAAGCGCAATGGGTAGACTTATCGAGGTGGATGTCGGTGAGGGGAATATTTGGGGGTCAGAGTGCATACGAGTTAGAGTGGGTATTGATGCTCGTAGGCCTTTGAGACGAGGCATGAAGTTGACACTCAAAGGAAAGCCGTTATGGGTGTCATTCTGGTATGAGCGGCTTCCAAACTTTTGCTATTGTTGTGGCATGCTAGATCATGTTGAGTGGGATTGTGAAGTGGGACTAGAGTTAGAAAGCATGGGGATGGTTGAGCGGTCTTACAATGATGAGCTGAGGGCATCCCATGGAGGATACGACAAGGGAGGAGGTGCAAATAGTGGAGGTTGGCTTAGGGATGCTTCCGGTAACCCAGTGGCGGAGGTGAGGCGACAGAGAAGACAAGGTTCAAACTTGGAAAGTCCGAGAATTAGGAAGTCAAGGGATTTGAGGGGAAGTTTTTCCCCTAATTGGCAGCATGAAGGCCTGAATATGGAAAAAGAATCGAATGCTCATGGTCAAAGGCGAGATCTCTCGGAGGGCACAATTGATTCCTTAGTGCGAAGTTCTGGCCAGAAATTTGGAGATGATGGTGGAGGAGTGGATGATGGAAAAAGGATGATTGAGGTTAATGCGGAAACTAATAGGCGGGAGTTGTGTGGTTTGAAGGGGGTTGAGATCGTAAGGCTCATTACTAGAAAAGATCAGAGTTGTGTTGATACTGTGGAGGAAGTTGGGCCTAGAAATGCTCTTGCGATGGTTCAAGGTCCAAAAAACACCCTCATTGTGGACAATATAGGTGGCCAAGGTCCAGAGACAGATACAGCTTTTGTTTCCTCATCAGGCCCAAGTAACACTCCTTTTAAGAGAAGAGCTTGGAAGAAAGAGGCTTGCGAAAGAAAGAGCTCAAGTTCACAATTGAAGCATATTGTTAGCAGGGTGAAACGAAAAGATGAGCAAGAGGTGGTGGTAAGGAATGAGGTAGAAGGGGGGGAGAAGTAAGGTAAAGGTGTTGGAGATGATAGAGCTGCAATTATTATATCGGCGGGTGCTACTATGCAGGCTTGTTGGTCACATGAGTCTGTTATGTTGGAACTGCCGAGGGCTTGGGAACCCTCGCGTAGTTCGTAGCCTCATTGAATTGGTGAGGTGGAAGAAACCCACAGTGGTGTTCCTTAGTGAAACACAATTGGATAAGCGAAGGATGGAGGGAGTTCGACGTCGGTTGGGTTTAATAATTGTTTTACTGTTGATAGAGTTGGCACTGGTGGGGGTTTAGCGATGCTATGGCAAGATGGTGTCATTTTATCTTTATTATCCTACTCTCAAAACCATATAGATATGGAGGTCATAAGGTGAGGGGAGCAAAGGTAGAGGTTCACTAGTTTTTATGGGCACCTAGAAAGAAGTAACAGGAGGCGATTGTGGGCATTGTTGCAGGAGCTTGCAACAAAATCATCTTTACCATGGGTAATTGGGGGTGATTTTAATGATATTCTGGACCAGGAAGAAAAAAGGGGAGGAGAACCACAACTAAAGTGGTTGCTAAATGGTTTTCGAGAGGCAGTGGTAGATTGTGAGCTTACAGAGGTACGGATGATAGGGTTCCCTTATATATGGAGTAGAGGGGGAGTGGAGGAGAAGTTGGATAGAATTTTGGCATCTAGAGAGTGGCAAGCCTCTTTTCCACAAGCAATGGTTTGAACTTTACCGCCGTTAGGCTCAGATCATAGTCCTCTTCTAATGAATCATATGGGGAGACGTAAAGACTATAATAGGAAGCAGGTTAGAAGATTCAGGTTTGAAGAAATGTGGATGTGGGATGAACAATGTCAAGTGATGGTGAAGCGGGGATGGAATGGGCAGTAAGGTGAGAGAGTGTTAGTTGGAGTCATGCATCGTTTAAAAGCATGTGCTAACAATTTAGACAATTGGAATCGAACCCAGTTTGGAAATGTACAGGAGAGAATTAAGCGGTGTGAGGATAGAGTATAAGTTATTAGACGGTTTCCAAGAACAGAAGAAAGGCTGCAGGAGGAGAAGGAGGTCTTGAGGGAGGTTGAGGTGTGGTTGTCACGGGAAGAAGTGATGTGGCGGCAACAATCGAGAGACGTGTGGTTGTAGGATAGGGATTGAAATACAAAATTTTTCCATGGGAAAGCCTCTAGGAGAAGGGAGCGTAATATGGTGGCAAGGTTGATGGATGCAAGGGGGGGTCTGGAAAACAAATTTCATGGCTTGAGAGGAGATAGCTGCATCATATTTTAATGATTTGTTCTCATCTTCTCATCTAATCAATATTGAACAAGTAACGAGATGCATAGATCGTCAAGTCACCAATGAGGACAATAGGTACCTACTGAAGGAGTTTAAAGTAGAGGAAGTGACTGAAGCAATTTTCCAGATGCATCCATTGATGGCACTAGGGCCAGATGGCATGTCACCAGGCTTTTTCCAACATTTTTGGCCGGTGGTGGGGAAAGGAGTTATAGAAGCCTGTCTTGAGTTCTTGAATAATGGTAATAGTTGCCAATGGAATTAAATTTTACTCAGATTATTTTGATTCCTAAAGTGGGGGAGCCAAAAGTGATGGGGGAGCCAAAAGTGATGGGTGATCCACATCCATTTAACCTGTGTAATGTGATATATTGGATTATTGCTAAGGTTCTTGCAAATAGATTGAAACAAGTGTTGTTGAGGGTGATTTCGGTTGAGCAAAGTGCTTTCTTGCTTGTTCGACAGATTACAGACAATGTACTTGTAGCCTTTGAAGCGCTCCATTATATGTATTTTAGGCGGGAGCAACAACGAGGGTGGCAAGCCATCAAGCTTGACATGAGTAAGGCATATGATAGGGTGGAGTGGAGATATCTAGAAGCTGTAATGGTGGCGATGGGTTTTGATGAGAGGTGTACTGGTTTGATTATGCAATGTGTTAGTACAGTGGAGTATGAAATCCTACTAAATGGGAAGGAGGTAGGTCAGATCGTTCCTACTCGTGGTTTGCGCCAAGGGGATCCATTGTACCCATACCTGTTTATTTTATGTGCAGAGGGTCTCACGAGCATGATCAAGGATGCCGAGAATCAAAGGTTGCTTCACGGGATCAGGGTATCTCGACAGGCTCTTATTGTTTCCCATTTACTTTTTGCTGATGATAGCCTTTTCTTTCTGAGAGCAATAATGAAGGAAGCAGAAGTAGTGTAGCAGATTTTGAAGGGGTATAGAGAGGCTTCAGGCCAAGTTGTGAACTTCCATAAATCATCTATTTTGTTCAGTAGGAATGTTCAGCGAAGGGTACAGAATCCAATTAGTCAGTTGTTAGCTGTACAGGAGGTAGAACATCATGGCCGCTACTTAGGTCTTCCTACCCATATTGGCAGATCAAAAGTGGATGCTTTTTGCAGGCTTAAAAGGCAAATTTTGGGCGAGGATTAAGGAGTGGCATGAGCAGTCTCTCTCACGGGCGAGTCGTCTTGTACTCATAAAATCTGTGTTGCAATCTTTACCCACTTATATTATGAGTATTTTTAAACTCCCCATTACTCTCTATAAAGCCTTGGAAGGTATCATGGGGAGATACTGGTGGGGAGGGGGTAAAGACAGTCACAAGATCCATTGGGTAGAATGGAGGAGATTGAAGAGACCAAAGAGAGAATGGGGATTGGGCTTTCGGTCGCTTCACAAATTTAATATGGCCATGTTGGCCAAGCAGGGTTAGAGATTGATAAGAGTGCCAAACTTGCTAGCTGCTAGAGTTTTAAAGGTGAAATACTTTCGTAGAACTGACTTTCTACATTCAAGAGAAGTATATAGTGCTAGCCTTACATGGAAGGGTATTTGGGAGGCAAGATATATCCTCCAAGCAAGTTGTCGATGGCGTATCGGAAATGGTAGAAGCACTAGGTTGTGGGAAGACCCATGGCTTCCTGGTTCATCATGTTTTAATATTGTCACTCCTAGACTAGATGGGTGTGAGGTGGAATGGGTTTCAGAGTTGATTGATGATGTTACGCATAGCTGGAGAAGGGAACTAGTGTATCAATTATTTTCAGAGCATGAGGCACAGTTAGTTTTGTCCAGCCCAATTAGCTGGAAAAGTTTGGAGGATGATTGAGTTTGGCAGCATACAAGAGGGGGGTGTTACTCGGTGAAATCAAGTATCATGTGGCTTGTCAATCTCATTAGGATCCTCAGCAACCATCCTCCTCTATAGGCGAGTTTCGAGGACAAACTTTGTGGAGGTTGGAGCTACCGAAGAGGATTAAAGTATTCCTTTGGAGTGCTTATAGGGAGATACTCCCAACAAAGGAAAACTTACGTAAGAGACGAGTGGACATTGATAACTACTGTCCAGTTTGTGGAGAGATGACTGAAACAGGGGCACATGTTCTAAAGGATTGCCAGTTTGCACGAGCTGTATGTTGGGGAGTCAGTTAAACCTTCGTGTTGCGGATCTGCAGGTGGATAGTTTCGTTGAATTTTTTGACACAGTTGCTTTCACTGTTGACCAGAGTAAGCTTGAGTTGTTTGGGGTAGTTTGCTGGTCACTGTGGAACAATCACAATGATATATTATGGGAGAGTAAGAGGCAACAACCACAGCAAGTTTGTGGGATGGCGGTTCGATTTTTGCAGGAGTACGTTGAAGCTATAAAACACAAATGTGGGACGCGAGGAGGACCAAGGAGAGGGGAGATAAAGTGGGAACCACCAGATGAATCACATTTTAAGGTGAATGTGGATGGGGCTGTGTTCCAGCACTCCAAGGAATTTGGTGTTGGAGCGGTGGTGCGTGATTGTAATGGGGAGGTAATTGCAACTATGTCATGCCGATGACAAGGAACTTTCTGAGTCGAGGTGGTGGAGGCCTATGGCCTGTGTGAAACGTTGCAGTTGGCATACGAAATGGGATTAAGGAAGATTATTGTTGAGTGTGACTGTGCGGTTGTCGTACAGTGGCTCGGGTCTCAACATGCAGTGTTGTTATCAGAGTTAGGGGGAGTGTTGGAGGATTGTAAAGGCTTGATGGATAGATTTAACAAATGCCGAGTGCAATATGTTTGAAGGGTAGGGAATCAAGTGGCTCATGAATTGGCACGCAGAGCTGAATATATTACAGGAGATGAGTTTTAGGTTAAAGAGGTTCCTGATCCAATCAAGGCTTTTGTACTAAATGACATGGCTTAGTCTGTATTGATTACACCTTCCTCATTTTTGAGACATGAAATAATACTCAGAAGTATTGACCATCAAAAAAAAAG